CAACAATTTGGTGAAGTTTCCGTTTGCCATTTCTGGTAAAGGCAAGGCAAATTTATAAGTCCACAACCTAATTAATTCATGTCATCACATAGAAAGGGTTTTTAATCTATGTTCCATTTCCATTTTGGGCATATCTGAGATTCCCTCCAATCTCAGTGACGGAGACAGTTGTATCCCTGGAAATGTGGGAAACTACATGGGATGCATGGAGCCAATTGTTTCAGCTGCAAAACCCCACCACCTTCTGTGAAGGATCTCATCCACTCATCCATCATGTTCCTGAACGCCAAGGTACATAGCTATTTTAGGTTAAACCTTTCTATCTAGTAAGTGCTCACCCATCATGTTCGTGAACGCCAAGGTACCATGTGAGAGTCTTCCATTTTAGGATATGCCCCTCCTACATCGGTCTATGACGCCCCTATCATCTTATGAAGCAATCCTGCCAATTGCATTAGTAGATGGATAACCCAATTTTATGTTGCATCCCCACCGATCAATACATCCAACCTTTATAGTAATGATGGAAGACCTTTAGAGAATTCATCATATGAAAAACTCGGCCTAGTTCTGATTTAGGTCAAACCAAAGTGGCTCCCACTGGCTTTCATAAAGCCAGATTTAGATGGTCCCTAAACGGCTAGGGTTCCGTGCAGTTCCTCTTGGGGAGGAAGCTAATGTGGGGCCCATTCAATGGGGAGATCATCCAATGATCCTATGGACACCATGGCAATGATGTGCGAAAGAGCCACTATCGAATCAGCATGGGCTAAGTGCTTATGGCCGATGAACGTAGCACATCAAACATCCACACATTACATGTATCAAATCCATAATTGATCCAATCATATAAATAACTATAAAACCCATAAATAAAGCCCATTTAATTTCATAATATTACCAATTAAAATTATCTAGGTATATGGGTTGTACTGTGAAATTCTCTCCTTTGCGTTTTCAGCTTCGTCTTCGAATGAAATAAAAATAGAAAATCTAATTTTTCTATTAATATTACATTAGATTCAAATTCCTACACATTCCATCTAAAATAAAAAAAATAAGCTTAATTACAGACCAAGAATGAATAGAAGATATTGCAGATTTCCTACGCCAATAAAAGAATTCGATCTCCACCATATGAACAACCCAAAATCCAAGAAAAATATATAGAACAGTTCTAAATATAAATCATATTAATAAAGATTTAATTTCAGATCATTCGCCCAAAAACTGGGAACCGATTTCCCAGAAAAATGCTAACTGCGCAAATCGGGTAGAACGCCTTCTGCCCATTTGCACAGATTCATATCTGGTTTAATTCGGTTCAAGATTTGAACCTGGCTCTGATACCACTGGAGGGATGAGAGATCCATCATATGGATGGACGAACCCTGCAGGATGGTTGGGCGAAGTTCAAAAATTTCTCTCTCTCTCTCTCTCTCGTCTAGGAATCGCATTCCCTATTTTAGAAAACTGCATTTTCAATGATCAATCTTGAACCAAACCGGATCAGATCTGAAACCAAAAGGGAGGAGAGGGATATACCTGATACAAAATAGCAGTAACTTCCAATGAAGGTGTTCACACCCAAGGAGAAAACCAAAACCTGCCTCCACTGAAGATGACACAGTGTGAGGTGAAGTAGGATCAGCAGGACGAATCTTCAGCAAGAACCGAATTCTTTAGCAAGAATGGAGTAGAGGGCTAGTGAGCACGACTTCTGATTATTTATTGCAAAAGTGTTTACCTTCATCACTAAGATAGCCCTCGATGTACCAAATCTAGTAAAAATATTTTTTTTAAGAATTTGTTTACAACCTTAGCATCATTAGTGGGACATGCAATTGCTTCCACACATTTACTCACATAATCAATAGCTACAAGTATATACTCATTATTGAAAGATTTTGAAAAAGGACCCATGAAATCAATGCCTCAAATATAAAAAATATCACAAATGAGAATATTGTTTAGGGGCATCTCATTTTTCCTTAATATATTACCTGTCCGTTGGCATCGATTACAAGAACTTACATATGCATAAGCATCGTTGAATAAGGTAGGCTGATAAAATCCACTTTGTAAGACCTTTGCCACCGTCTTGGATGTTTCATGGTATCCACCTGTTTCTTTTTCATGACAAAAATTGAGTATACTCTGCATCTCTTCATTTGGTATGCATCTTCTCACCATGCTATCTGCACAAATCTTGTATAGATATGGTTCCTCCCAAAGATAGTGCCTTACATCAGATAATTTTTTTTTCTTTTGATGAAAAGAAATGTCAGGGGCAACTCATTACCTACAAGAAAATTAGCAAAATCAGCATACCATGGTTTATCATTATCATGCACAAAGCATAATTTCTAATTAGGAAATTCATCATGCAAAGGGTGTTCATTCATGCTCTCCACATACTCCCCGTCCAATCTAGACAAGTGATCAGCTACCATGTTTTCAATGCCTTTCTTGTCTTTGACTTCTAGGTCAAATTCTTGCAACAAAAAAATCCATCTTAACAACCTAGGTTTTGCATCTTTTTTAGCAAGTAGATACTTCAGTGCAAAATGGTCAGTATAGACAATCACTTTAGACAAGATCAAATAAGGTCTAAATTTTTCAATAGAAAATATTAAAGCAAGTAGTTCATTTTCAGTTGAATAGTTTCTTTGTGCATCATTCATGGTTCTAATTGCATAATAAATGGTACGAAATTTCTTGTCTATTCTTTGTCCTAAAATTGCACCTAAAGTATAATCACTTGCATCACACATGGTCTCAAAAGGTAAATTCCAGATGGGGGCTGAAACTATGGGGGCTTGGATCAATTTCTCTTTTAAGCAATTAAATGCATGTAAACAAGCACTATCAATCATAGAAGATGCATCATTCACTAAAAGATTAGTTAAAGGCCTATCAATTTTAGAAAAGTCCTTAATGAACCTCTTGTAAACGCCTGCATGTCCCAAAAAACCTCTATCTTCTTTCAACAATTTTGGAGGAGGAAGCTTTTCAATTAATTCAATTTTAGTTCTATCCACTTCAATACCATTAGAAGATATTTTGTGGCCTAAAACAATTCCTTCCCTAACCATAAAGTGATATTTTTTCCAATTAAGAATAAGGTTAGATTCCTCACATCTTTTAAGCATAAAAAATAAACTATGCAAGCATGCATCGAATGAAGATCCAAAAACATAAAAGTCATCCATAAATATCTCCATAAAATCATCAATGAAATATGAAAATAGAGACATCATGCATATTTGAAAAGTAGTAGGGGGCATTGCATAAACCAAAAGGCATTCTCCTAAATGCAAATGTTCCATAGGGGTATTTAAAGGTAGTTTTTTCTTGGTCTTCAGAAGCAATGGGAATTTGGTGATAATCAGAATAACCATTAAGAAAATAATAGAATTTCCTTTGATCAATAAAGGGAAGGGGAAAGTGATATTATCTAGTAGCATCATTCAATTTCCTATAGTCGATACATACCCTCCAACCTGTTACTATCCTTTGTAAGGATTAATTCATGATTTTCATTTTTGACCACAGTGATCCCACCTTTTTTAGGCACAACTTGCACAAGACTTACCCAAAAAGAATCAGAGATAGGAAAGATAATACCTGAATCAAGCCATTTTATCACCTCTTTCTTTACTACCTCTTTCATATTAGGATTTAACTTCCTTTGGGGTTGCACCATAAGATTGAATCCTTCTTCCATCAAGATTTTGTGCATGCAAATTGATGGGCTTATTCCTAGTATGTCGCCAATGCTCCATCAAATTGCCCTTTTGTGCTCCGTAAGCACCCTTATCAACTTTTCTTCTTCAAGACCTGCCAAGTAAGAAGAAATAATCATAGGTAAGGTAAATTAATTCCCCAAATAAACATATTTTAAATGTGAAGGAAGTAATTTAAGTTCAAGAGTAGGAGGCATCTCAATTGATGGTTTGGCTTTTGAAGAAGAAGAAGAAATATCCAAAGGAAATTTTTTTTCTATTTTTGTCATGAATCCTCTTTACTTTTCTCCCAAGTAGCCTATGGCCTCCTTATGCTTTTCATCTATAATTTGTTCCTTCACATCAAAAGAGTTAGCAATGTAATTTTCTATGGGATCATCTAACCTTAATGCATGAAACTTTCTATCTACCAAATCATCAATGCAATCTATCATTAAGACTTCTTTTTCATCATTGGAATGTTTCATAGCCTTAAACACATTAAAAATATCTTCCTCATCATTAATTCTAAGGCTAAGTTATCCTTGTTGGACATCAATTAAAGCTCTTCTTGTGGCAAGAAAATGTCTCCCTAAAATTAGGGGCATATCATAATCTTCTTCCATGTCCAAAATGATAAAATCAACAGGAAAAATAAATTTATCTACTTTTACCAAAACATCTTCCACTACTCTCCTTGGATATTTGATACTTCTATCAGCCAATTGAAGAGAAACAGTGGTAGGTGTTGGATCGTTCAACCCAAGCTTCTTGAAGACAGAAAAATGGAATCAAATTAATGCTTGCACCAAGATCACATAAAGCCTTGTCAAAATTAATTTTTCCAGTAGTGCACGGAATAGAGAAGCTCCTTGAATCCTTGAGTTTTAGGGGTAATTTATTTTGTAGGATTGTTGAGCATTTGTAATTAAGTTTTACCATCTCAAACTCCTCCAACTTTCTTTTGATTGAAATTATTTCCTTCAGGAATTTGGCATAACTTGGCATCTGGGAAATAGCATCAAGAAGAGGGATGTTAATATGCAATTTTTGAAACACCTCTACAAATTTAGCAAATTGCTTATCCAAGTTAGCCTTAAGAAATCTTTTAGGAAAAGGAAGAGAGGGTTTGTAAGATTTTAAATTAAGAGTAGAAGAACTTCCCTTTTTCTCCATTGATGACTCGCTGTCTCCTTCTTTGGCTTCAAGGTTTCGGCTTTCTTCCTCTTTTACATGCTCATCATCTCTTTCTTCTTTTCTAAGTTCTTTTCCACTTCACAGAGTGATGGCCTTTACTTGTTCCCTGGGATTCTTCTCAGTATTACTAGGTAATCCTCCTTGTGGCTTTGTTGAAATTGCTTGAGCAAGTTGTCCAATTTGAATTTCCAACCCTTGAATTCTTGCCTCCGTATTGTTGATAAATTTTGCCATCATATACTCCAAATTTATCTTCTTCTCTTGTGGATTTTGTTGGTGTTGCTGTTGAAAGCCAGGAGGTGCCCTATGTTGGTTATTACTCCAAAAAAAATTTGGACGGCTTCTCCATCCTGGATTATAAGTGTTGGAGTAGGGATTGAAATTAGACCTGTTGCCACCATAAGAAACAAAATTAGCTTGTTCAGAAGAAGAAGAAAATGGATTTCCTACTTGACAGTCTACACTAGCGTGTCCCCCTTGCCCACAGAGCTCACAAAAAGGAAAATGAACAGAAGAAACATTCATAGCAGAAACCCCCAAATTTTCCAATTTCTTATTTAATGCAAAAAGTTGAGCTGATAAAGTAGTGATAGAATCAACATTATAAATTATAACTCCCTTTTTATTTGTTCTCTCATTGCCCCATTGATAACTATTGGCCACCATCTCCTCCCAAAGTTCATATGCTTCTTTGGGAGTTTTCCTCATAAGGGTACCACCTGCTGCTGCATTTAACATTGAATGATTAGATTGATTAATGCCACTATAAAAAGTTTGCACTTGCATCCAAACAGGTAGACCATGGTGAAGACACTTCCTAAACAGTTCCTTAAATCTCTCCTGTGACTCATATAAGGTTTCATTGTCAAATTGAAAAAAAGTTGTTATGTCATTCCTTAATTTAGCCATTTTAATAGGTGGAAAATACTTAGATAAATATTGTTTTGCCAAGTCATCCCATGTTGTAATCGAACCTACAGGAAGAGAATTAAGCCAATCTCTTGCTTTATCTCTTAAGGAGAAGGGAAACAACCCAAGTCTAATGGAATCATCACTAACTCCATTATGCTTAAAAGTATCACATATTTCAAGAAAATTAGCAATATGAGAGTTAGGGTCATCATTGGGGCCAAAAAGTTGCACACTCATCTAGATCATCTAAATAATTGCAGGCTTGATCTCAAAATTGTTTGCTTGCACATTCGGCCTCCTAATGCTTGATATAGTACCATCCAAAGTAGGTATAGCATAGGAGCTCAATGTTCTTGGATTATTTTTGTCTTGAGCCATCTTTTTCTTTATCTCCCTTGTTCGCTTTTTCAAAGTCCTTTTGATTTCTTGATCAAGGGGTATTAATTCTCCACCACTAGTGTGTGTCATGCACTAGGAACGTACAAAGAAAAGAAAAAATTAAAAATTTCCAAAAAAAAATTTATAAAGCCGAACCCAACAGAAATTGAAAATAGAAAAGAAAATTTTAAATCCTAAAACAACTAAATGTTTAATCTAAGGCTAATTTAGGTAGTTTTGATATGGAATAAACTAGTCCCCGACAACGGCACCAAAAACGTATTGTGTGATTTATGCACAGTTAATTAGGCAAGTGTACCTTAGTCAAATGTGCATATAATGTTGAGAAAAGTGTCAAGCTTATAGAGAGTAGATCATAGTAATCAATTTTAAACTAACCTAAGTTTGACTCATGAATCAATTGAATGAATAAAAACTAAAATAATTAATGCAAATCCATGAACTTAATAAAAACTGAATCGATGAATGAATGCAGCTTGGGTTTATATTTCATTAAATCAAGGTTATATAATTACCTATTTAATCCAACTCAAGACCGAAATTACCCTAAGGTAGATTAAAGTTATTTGCATGTGATTGTGGATTTCCCTAAATTAATTAATAAGCTTTCTCAAGTCATATTAATCCTTTATTAATCCAATTTTACCATCAAATTTCTAAGTGGTTGTCAAAAGGAAAAATAAGCATTAAGTTATTTGGAAACCTCTAATCGTAGAAGGGGATTTGACTCACTAAGCATCATTGATTCCCACACATGAGCTAATCATCTTTCGATATCATAGTCTAWCATGCGATTTTTATTGCCTAGGGATCTAATTCATAACAATCCTTTGGTCAGTCATGCATGAATCATCGAATCATTAAAAGATTGGTCAATTCTTTTAAAGCATTAAGCACAACAATAAAAATTCCTCATGCAAATAATAAATGTCTTGAATTGAATTAAACAAATAACTATATAATCTTAAGATCAAAATTCATCTAAACCCTAGCTAAGAGAATTTAGCTAGACATAATTAAATTCAACACATTCAAGAAAATTAAAGAAGAAACACAACAAAAACACATCAAGGAATGAATAGAATAACAAGAAAACTATAGCCTTTGAAGGTAGAAGACAAGTGCAGCAACTAAGCCTTCCTCCCTCTTGGATTTAGATTCTTCCTCTCCTTTCCTAGCATGCTAAAACTGCTTCCTCTCCTCTTCTAATGTGCTAAGACTACTTCTTTTCTTCTCTACCGAATTCTCTCTAAGGGTGTGCCCTTTGTCTTGAGTCTATGATTGTTTTTATAGTGCAACCCCCCTAGACTCCTAATTCAACACAAATTAGGTCTCTTAGTCTTTATCAAAGTTGAATGCCTATCTCTTCTGCACTGCCAACTGTCAGACCCGAAACTTGTAGCTCAAATTGCACTTAGTTGGCGGTGGAATTGTGGTGATCGATAAACATAAGTTTTAGTCATATCTCTTAGCTTTAATTATCCATTTGACACACCTCAATCCGAGTTATATGCAGGAAGTTATGCCTAAAATACGAGAACTATATCAAAACATTAAATTTCCCTTTTTTGTGCATGCATATCAAATCCGATTTCAATGGATTCTCTCCTTCATGGCTACATCAAGGAGCATCATTGTTGCATGGTCCTTCCTCTATGATTATCTTGATCAAGTAAATCAAAATCCTCCTTAAAATTTCACAATTAAACTACAAATCACCTTGCAAGACAATTTCATCATAATTAGTGCAATACCATGCTAATTCCAAAAACATTATTACCAAAATCATCAAGTTAGATGTATGAAAATATGTAGAAATATAGGCTTATCATTTAGTTACCCGAAGGAAGGCTGCATCTGGATATTGTAGGCCTTGCCCTGAATACTGTTGCCACGTTGATGAGTCGGGTAATGGCCCATCCGTCAGAGGATTTCTTATGGATTGATTTTATCTGCTGGCTGGAGGCGTGTCGGGCATTTTCGTCGATGGGTTTTTTCATGGACTAAATCGAGGAGCGTGTTGTGGTGTTAGCGCACGCCTTTTGGAATGTTAGCCAGGACACACCTTAGATTGATCTGTTCCGTTCCATGAAGGATGTTTGTGGGCGCCAGAAGGTAATTGAGGCAGTTGTTGTTAGAGTCACAAAGAAGCTCGAGGATTTAAGGGAAGAATGCGCACAGTTGGAGTGGATCCTTGAAGAATATAAAGCGGAGTTGGAGGACATGAAGAAGTTTGAAAAAACTAGCGGGGTATTGGACACCATATCCGCCATATGGAAAGAGTGGGCCAAGTGACCATTAATTTTGTTGTGGTGTAATGGACTATTCCAAGATTGTCCCGTTATTGTATAATAATAATTTTGTTAAATAGTACAAAATTTGATTGAGTTCAGTATCCATTTTGTAAAGAATTTGATTGTGTTTAACCTTGTTAGTCACATTGTGTGCTTCTGGTCTTACGCGGTAGCGTTTATCACAGTGTTTTAAGGTAATTGAACGAGGTTACTAGTGTGTTTTATAGGGGTTATTAAGTGTGTCATTTGTTATGACTGGGTCTTCGAGATGGGCTCTATGAGCGGTAATTTGTAGTTTGGATATTTAGAAGACTTGATCGTGGTATGCTGCTCTCGTGTTTACACATGTCGTGCAATAGAGATTTAGTGGTGAGCGTAACTTAACGAATTCCCTAGTCGGCTTTATCATAGTTGAGGGCGAGCATAATGTTGCTTTATCATGGGTTATTTATAAAGGGCAAGTGGTGTGGGCTATCACCTTATCGCAAACTATTGATGAGCTATGCAATGGACGCTAATTCTGTCGCACTCGTTAATGCAAGTGGCATATTATTGTCAATGTTGCGTGGGTGAAATTTGGTCTCCCAGATTTTGCTATGGGAGTGGGTATCTGTGTTTGTGAAATTTGGTGGGGGGGTCATGCGTTCTGTCAATGGATCCCCCGATGATTTCATGGACGTGTGCCATCCTTGTGTAGGAGTCATGCCAATCTTCCTTGTATCTTTCCTGTTTTGTCGTTAGTTGGGCTCAATCATGGTATAAGTAGGTAGCATAGGTTGGATTTTCATCGCAACTATGTTTTGAGAAGTGAAATGATGTTTGTTAGCAAAGTTTTATTATCAATATAGAGACAAATGAAGTTTATCTTCCATTAGTTCATCGCATTTCGATAGAGTGTCTGTATGAATTGACTAGGAATCACTTCTGCCATCGGTAAAGCCCCCTAGTGATTACATGGGGTGTGGTTGCACCTAGGTTCATTAGGACTTCAGCTGTGCCTGGGGTTGCTAGGGCTTTGTTTGTGCTTGGGGTTGCCAGAGCTTTGTTTGTGCCTAGGGTTTCCCGGGCTTTGTTTGTGCCTTGGGTTGCCAGGGCTTTGTCTATGCCTGGGGTGCTGGGGCTTATTGATGTGCCTGGGGTGTCTAGGGCTTTGTAGTGTGCCTGGGGTGCCGAGGCTTACTAAGGTGCCCAGGGTGTCCAAGGCTTTGTATATGTGCCCGGGGTGCTAGGGCTTAGTAGATATGTATGTAAGAAAGTAAAAGATATGTATGGCTATAAGTAAGATATGTATGTAAGCAAATAAAAGATTGATCATTCATTTTGTCACAAATTATGGTTATGAACAAGACATGTATATGAGAAAATAAAAGAATAATTCATTTTGTTACAGATGCATATATTCTTAGTTGAAGGGTAGGGCAACTTTATCTTAATGATAATGCAAGACTTCATCGCAAGCAAAGAGTTAAAAAATGATCATGCAAAACATAGTAGATTTATTCATAAAACATGTGCATTGGCTTGTGTGATTACAGAAGTACATATCTAATCAAAGTAAGTTTTCAACCAGTAACCATTTATGGTTTCATCATCTTTTCCTGTATCTACAGTTTTTAGTACATAGTAGCCCAAGCAGTGAGCTTCTTTTATCAAGTAGGGCCCTTCCCATGTTGGTGCGAACTTTCTTACAGACCTGCCTTGTCTAACATTGAGAGCTGTCTTTAATACTTTATTCCCTTCTTTGAAGCTTCTAGGCGTTAAGTGTCTATTGAAGTTGTTAGCTTGGGCCTGTTTGTTTTTGCTTTGCTTCTGCGAGGCTGCATATCTAATTTCATCTACTACCTCGAGTTTGTTTGCAAGTAATGCATCTAAGTCTTCTGACCTGATCTTCTTACCCATTATGAAGGCTACCCTAGCAAATACAACTTTTATCTCTGTTGGGAGTATTGCTTTCTTGACCGTAGAATAAGGAGTAGGGTGTTGCCTGTGTGCTTTTTCTGATAGATGTGCGATAAGCCCAAAGTGTTTCCAATAGTTTATTTGCCCAATCCCTTTGATTATCGGCCACTGTTTTGCTCAACATTCTTAGTAGTGTCTTGTTTGTGGCCTCTGCTTGACCATTTCCCTAGGGGTAATATGTTGTAGACGTTCTTAATCTTGCCTCGTACTTCCCTAGGAGGTCACAGACTTCTTGGTTTTTGATGGACTTGCCATTATCGGTCAGTATCCGCATTGGTACCCCGAATCTATGGACTATGTTTTGTCTCAGGAAGTTCGCTATGTTGGCTGCACAGATTTGTCGTAGGGAAATGGCTTCTGCCCACTTAGTGAAGTAATCTGTGGCTATGATGATGAAACAATACCCCCTAGAGGGTGGGTGCATCTTTCCTATAAGATCTACCCCCTAAGTGTGAAAGGGCCAGGGTGTGATGATTGGATCCAGGCTGTTGGCAGGCTTGTGGATTCTTTTGCCATGGATTTGCACTTGTGACATTGGCGCACATGCCGCTGCGTGTAGGATATGGTTATGTAGGGCAAGCTGACCTTGGTTGGTTGTAGGTTCAAAACTATGGGCTGCTTCTAATACGTCTTCGATTTCCTCATTGGCTAAAAATCACAGAGGTTTTCCTGCGTGCAATTTCCTATACAACACTCCATCTTGGAGGTAGAACCTCTTGACCTTAGATAATAGCTTCCTCTACAATTGGATATCGATGGGGAGTGTGTTCCCGTAGGTACTCTATGTACATCCTCCTCCAGTCCTCATCACAGACTACTAAACATTCTTTGCTATTAGTTTGTGGAACGCATTTGTCACATTCACTTTGTACCTTAGTAGAGTCCCACTTCATCGTGGGCTAGTAATACCCTTACCGTTGCAGTTTATGGAATAGGGTACTTGTGACATCCCTACAATTGGCCTTATGAACTTCGTGCAGCACCGCTTCCACCTATGACTTGCCTAGGCACCTTGTCCTTATGCCATCTAATTCTCTGTGATATAGCACCCCGTTCACTAGTTGGAACTTTGCAATTAGCCTAATGTCTTGTATCCCTATGGCCTGACTTTTTGGCTTCTTTATTACTTCATACCTCCAATCGTCAGCTGCTATTTGTTCCTCATCTTCCACTCGGTCTCTCAGGGTGAAAGTTGATTGTTTGTCAACCAATTGGATGGTAATCCATATCGGCTTTGGATTGGCTTGCATCTTCGAACCTAAGGTTGCTAATGCATCGGTGAACCTATTTTTTCCTCTATTCTGATGTTTGAATTCTACATCCAGGTTGCGAACTAGCTTTTGGATCAGTGTCCTATATGGTAGGATGGTTAGCCCTTCACGGTCATGCTTCCATCAAGCTGTCCGATCACCAGCTTGGCGCCACCAATTACCTTTGTCATTTTTGCACTGGCTTCTATGACTTTTATTAGGTCGAGGACCAATGCTTTGTACTCTGCTATATTGTGGGAACATGGGAATTGAAGCTTAAATGAGTAAGCAGAGGTTTTGTCTGTCAAGGGAAGTAAAGGTTACTCCAGTGTCGGCCAAGGGGTTCGTGCTGCTCCTGTCGAAGGTTAGGATCCACTCTCTACTTTTTGGCTAGGGTGAATATGGGTATGTCTCTGGGAACCTCTTCTGATATGGAAAAGTCAGAGCTCGATGGGAAAGTGGCCAGTAGGTCCACTGCTGCCTGACACTTAATGGCTTTATGTTGTGTGTACTTTATTGCATACTCGTTGAGTTGCACCATCCACTTGACAAGTCTGCCAGAGAGAGGAAGTCTGTCCATGAAGAACTTAATTAGGTCATTTTGTGCAATGAGCCTCACCTTTTGCCCTAGGATGTAATGTCTAAATTTCTATGTAGAAAAAACTAGGGCTAGGCATTGTTGCTCCATGTGGGAATAGTTCTTCTCCATTGGTTTGAGGGTTCTACTGGCATAATATTAGGGGAGTTCCACTTTGCCCTTGTCCTCCTATGCTAGTAGGCATCCTATGGCCTATGTCCCTGTTGTGATGTATATTCTGAATTCTCGCCTATATTTGGGCATCAACATTGTCGGTGCCCTTGCTAGTGTTGCCTTTAATTGCTCAAAGGTATTTTCATGTTCCTGAGTCCATCTAAATTCTGCAGACTTCTTGACTAATTTCATCAATGACAAAGCTGTGTGCGCGAGGCCAAGGATGAACCTTCTTAAATATGAGTTCCTAGGAATGTTTTGAACTAGGACTCATTCGTTGGTGGCGAAAGGTCTAAGATGGCTTTGACTTTGCTTTCATCTGGGTATATCCCGGTTTGATCTACCCAGTTCAATCTTAACTTGAATTCTCTACATCTCGTGAATACCTTTCTCAAAACCTCTGAGTGATCTTCTTTTCTCCTTACCTTGGTGATTATTTCATCCACGTAACACTATTTCCTTATGGATCATGTCATGAACAACACTAGTCATCACTCTCTAGTATGTGGCTCCAGCATTCTTCAAGTCGAAGGGCATCATCTTGTAATAAAAGTTCCCTATGGGTGTCTTGAAGGCTGTGTGAGGTGCGTCTGCAGGGTCCCTGAAAATTTGGTTGTACCCATTGTAGGCATCTAGGAAGGAGAAAAGCTCATGACCCGTGGTTGAGTCTATCAACACCTCCGTGTTGGGGAGAGGGAACTCGTCTTTTAGATATGCCCTGTTTAGGTCCCTAAAATTGGCGCAACATCTGCGATAAGGTGATGTTAGTATTTGGGTGTTTGACTATTGTTAAGGGACTAGGCGGGAAAGGTACTAACCTCTATTGCCCATTCTTCTTCTTTACTGGAATTACATTAGCAAGCCATTGAGGATGAGCTATAGGTTTGATGAAGCCTACTTTCAAAAGCCACTCTATTTCCTCAATCTTTAAAGTTATTTCCGGATTAAAGATCCTTTGCAGCTACTTCACTGGCCGAAACTTTGGATCTATGCATAGAGAATGGCGAACAAGCTCTAAATCGAGTCCTGGCATCTTGTCATATGACTAGGCAAATATATCCTGAAATTCCGTGAGAGAGATGCAGGTTAGACTGGTTTTGGGTTCTAAAGCTTCTATGATAAGGATATTTCCTTACCTTTTAGAAGTGCGATGAGTTTTCCTTTGTCTCTGGCTGCTAGCTTGGTGGATATGTATAAAGATCTTTTATCTGTTCCATCAGTTGCTAGATTAATCTCCTCTAATGGTTCCTCGACCGTGTTGATGGAGCCCGTCATGCACCTCGGAATGTATCTATCTATCAACTCCTGAAGTTGTCCAAGTTTATTTGTTTCAAATTTTGGGGAAATTCGTGTCTATATAGGTTTGTGATTTTAATGTTGTACCTTTGTGTCGTGTTCAGTAGTTGGAATTTTGCCTGATGGTAAGATCGTAGCGACATCGGTTTGCGATGTAGTGAAATGGTACTGGTTGAGACATTACTTAGAGTCTTCCGTTAGAGACATGCAAAGTTTTTGAAAAAAAATATATTTGATTTGGAAAATATAAGTTAAACTTCATTTTTTTAATACAATCTGCGATAAGGCTATGTAAACAAATTACGAAATCATCATACCTCAGGGATCACTTTCTTAGCTACAAGTGGTTCAGCGTCCTCATTGTCCTCGACGATGGTGTAGTATTCCTTCCCATTGTCACCTGCCATCCTAACACATATGCTCCTTTTCCGACGTTCTAATGCTCCTGCGGGTTCGCTCTCACGTGGGCATGGTAGCTTTGTTCCCTCGATTTTGGCTATTCTTATTTCACCATCCTCTACTAACTCTGTGAAGTAGATGACGTCTTGGAGGTGCATCTCGGTTTTGTCAAACGGGGCCCTGGTTGCCAACATCCTTATCGATCTCCCTCAGTGTTTGACTTTGATGCATTGGTGGTATGTCGATGGGACGAGGGCCAAGTCGTGTATCAATGGACGCCCCAAGAGAATGTGATAGTAGGTCCTTCTTGGGATTACCTGGAACTCTTGCGTTATGGTGAATGGTTCGATCGCCACCTGTAGTTCGATGGACGCTTTGGTGACGGATGGGTTCCCGTTGAAGTCTGTTACTTCTAGAGGCAATCCTTTGATGTCCTGCTTTTGAATGTTCATAACTCTAGTGTATGGATGGAGATGAAATTAACCGAACTTCCCGGGTCAACCATCGTTCTTCTCATGTCAAAGCCCCCTATCCTTGCCATGATGTACAAGGGTTTGTTGTGGTGAGGATCATCAACGGCCAACATGTCGTCTGTTGTGAACTTGACACTACTATGGTTGCAGGGGGTGCCGGAATACTTCGACCAATGCCTTGATGGCCAACTTTTGTGTTGTTGTGTTGGCCCCCTGTTTGGTGAAGAACTATTGTAGTTCTTCTCTTTGCTCCAGCTTTTCTATCAGAGCGTCAGCCTGGTACTTTCCGGACGCCCCTACCATGTTGAAGCTACCTTCTTGGGTATGGGCCGGGAGGGGGTCAATTTCCATGTGAGCCGGGTCTTTCTTTATAAATTGCTCTAACTTTACTTTCTGTGCGAATATCCTCCTCAAGGTGAAACAGTCCATTAAGTCATGGTGAGGCGTCTGATGGTAGTTGCATCACCTTCCTCCACGCTTGTGTTTATCTGGGTCTACTCCTGGTAGTGGTAGTAGAAGGTTGATGACCCTATCGTCTACTAGCTTATTCATAATCATGATCACCTCCTTCCTTGTGTAGGGGAAAGGAGGGGTTGGTAGTGGGATTCTCTTCCCCTGAGTATTGTCTTGCTGATACGGCCCTTGTCTAGCTCCTCCGTTATTCCTGGGCCTCCTGTCAACCATGTATGCCTCGTTTCTGTTGTAAGGAGAAGTGTCTTTGACGGTTTGCGTCGTTCTCTCCGTGCATCTCCAGAGTTGGCTGAAGGTTTCGACTTCGATATTTTCGATGCCGATTTTATAGGTAGGGCGCATACCTTGGACACACTACTTGACAAAGCTTCTTTCAGTGGCATGCTCATCGAAGACAGAATGAGTAAGTTTCTGGAATCTCATGATGTAGGCCAGGAGATCTTCAACTCGTCCTTGCTTTATGTTCTGTAGATCGGCCATTATCAGTTTCCTTTCTAAGGTGAACCATTTTGACAAAAATGTCTTGGCTATTTCACCCCATGAATTGACGCTCCCAGGGGTGAAACTTATGAACCATGTGTATGCTAGGCCAGTCAGCAACTTTGAAAACTCTCACACTTTGAGGTCTCCGTCGAGAGCAAATGAACCGAGGATGTCCTCGAACTTGCTGGCGTCATCCTGCAGGCTACCTCTCTGTCCATTGTACTGAGGCCATTGTTGAGGAGGGGTGTACCCGATAGGGTAGGGCCTGTATAGGATGCGATCAGAGTAGGGCTTTTGCAAGACGGCCGAATCCTGGACCCAGTTGCTGCTTTCGACTACCAGCCCCTTGACGTATTCCCTCAGCTCATCTCGGTTGAGAGGGGTCTCCGTTATCAGGTCGGTGTGGGGGAAGGTGTGAAATTGGTGAGTGGTCTTATGACATGTTTGAGTTGGATTAGGGTTGGCTCTGTTGGGCTGTTCTGGGGTGGTGGGTATAGGGTTAGCGGCGTGGCGACTGGGGTTGGGGTTGGAATTCGAGGTGTCGGGAATAGTAGCGGTAGGGGTTTGTATGGCTTGGAACAATTGAGTAGGATCTGGGGAGCGCTCCTTGTCTCTTCTTGGCTCTCTTCGAGTTTTCTGAACCATTCTTTGAAAAGCACCTCAAACCCGTAGACCTTGCTTGACAAGATCTCAATATCTGCTTGGATGGGCGTTTGCATTTCAGGCTGGTTTTCAGCTTTGAGGTTGGTGTTCTCCTGAGTATTGTCTTGCTCCTCAAGGATGGTGGTGAGGTTGGTTCTCGTTGAGGCCATTCTCTATGATCAAAGACGAACCAAAGATTTTACTATAGGAGTGTAAGGCTGGGGTGAAGGGTGGTCTCTTTGAAAGACAAAGGAAGGCCCGTAAGGAAGGAAGGATTAGGCTCTTAGGTCAGGGTTGCATGATCGGAGAGTTAGGGCATCGGGAGTACTAGATGGTAACATGCTTAGGATCCGATGAGTTCCAATGTGAGGAGGATCTCTATTTATGGAGGAGGTCCCGAGATCCTAAAAGGTAGGAGATGAGGATATTTGCTTTGTATCGGGGAAGGGAATATTTGATTCACTGTTAATTGTTGGATGCACTAATGGGGTATCGCCACGTGTCTCATGAGGATCTTCTCAAGGATTGGCTTTCCTTATCCTTGAGATACCTCATTACTCACGTGTGCTACTACCTTTTTGTGTGTCATAACTAATCCTATGTGGCAACAATGATGTCACCATTCGGTGGTTGGTACTTCGTCAGTTCCACGTGGTGGTTCACAAAGTCCTTGGCTGTCGTGGGTTCATGTGTGTTCAGGCACACGTGGCCTCACCGTGGGCTTCGCCTACTATCCTTTCTAACTTGTCATCTAGAGTGGGCTTGAAGGTTGTGAGTTCATTGCACGTCACAGTAGGTGTGGCTCCACTGCACACTTAGGTGTGTTTGGGCCTCTTGGATGGGTCTTTTTGAGGTTCATTTAGGTTCGGGCGTTGACTGGACTTGGTGGACCGTTGGTTTATCGCAGTTTTGCTTAATGTTTTACGGGTTCATCGCAAAGGTGGCGGTGTACCGCTAGTTCATTGCAGCGTGGGGGTTGGTTACAAGCTGCTCATAAGTGATTTTATGGTATTACTCTTGGTGTCTAAGTGTTCTTTGAGGGCCCGGGTGAGCGGTACATACCTACACATTTCAAAATATTTGTTTTTTACTTTTCCCAGTAGTAATAAAGGACAAGTTAGCAATTCTAACAAACCACCGACAATACTTAATAGCCAAAATTGATGCCACCTATGCCTGCGGTTTTGTACAGATTTCCTACCGGTCATATTTTTGCCGACAGTGATTATATCGGGAAAGAAAGACCTCCGGTAGATGGCTAGCATAGATCAATGCTGGCGGTCATGTAGTTTTTGCCGGCGGACCCAAACTGCCAGCAATAACTTGTTTTTTTTTGTAGTGGGTAGATTCACCTATGACCATAATGATTCCAATTCGATCAACTTCATTCTGCACAAGGTGAATATAATTACACAATTTACTAATCATTTCTCTTCGTTTCTAACAAAACTTAAACTTTTTGTAGGTGTTTGTGGAGAACTATACATTGGAGAAAGTAGATTCGCCACCAAAGAAAGCCAAGTAGATTTGCATAATCTACGATATGTTAAGTTTTGTATTTCCTTGAATTTAGATCTATTATATATTTTTGTTTCTTAATTCTTTTGTTTATATAATCATTCCATAGAATAAAACAACTTAAATGCATTTTCTATATAGAATGTTGAAATTTGTACTATAAAAAGTACGAATGGCCTCAAGAATATTTCTGAAAATTTTTATGACAAAACTTACTCTTCTACATTTAAAATTATTGACAAAAAGTGATGGAAAATAAGGTAATAGTTTATTGATATTAAATGAGTTGAAAAGAGGTAATTTTATGATATTCAATGCATTCAATTTCATCTCAGTAAATCCAATATTTAATTTATTAACTTGCATTCATGTTCACTGAATCTTACATTTATGTTATTTTCGTTTCTTCTTATAATTAAATTTTATTAATCAATTCATACTTAACAAATTAATAATTCCAATAACATAAAAGTTTATACTTTTAAAATTTACCTAGAAAAAATAGAGTTTTCTACTAGGTGGTGGTAATAAATTAAACCATTTGGGTCAAAATGGTTAATCCATGTTACCATTATTAAATAATAAAATTTAAAAGTAGATAAAATGAAAAAAATTGGGGACATTTTTAACATACATATTAAACTATAATTAGTATGATAAATAATAAATGTTTTTGTTAATGATGGAAATTGAATGTAAAATTTAAAGTAAATTGGAAATAAAAATATTTTCCTATTCTCTCTAATTAAATCCTATATTTAAAATATATTTTTCTCATCATTAAATTCATGTAATTAAATCCATGATATTAATTTTAATAGTATAAAAATAAATATTTTGAAAAGTAATTTGAAAACAAAACTATTTTCTTCTCTCCTGGTGGTGGGCAAGCATGGTCTCAAGAATATTTTTGAAAATTTTTTGATGACAAAATTTACTGATAAAAAGTGAGAGAAAATAGGGTAATTGATTACTAATATTAAATGAGTTGAAAAGAGGTAATTTTATGATATTCAATGCATTCAATTTCCTCTCAATAAATCCAATATTTAATTTATTAACTTGCATTCATGTTCAATGAATCTTATATTTAAGTTATTTTTGTTTCTTCTCATAATTAAGTTCTATTAATTAAATCCATACTTAACAAATTAATAACTCCAATAACATAAAAGCTTATACTTTTAAAATCTACCTAGAAAAAATAGAGTTTTCATCTAGGTGGTGGCATGAAATTAAACCACTTTGGGTCAAATGGTTTAATCCATGTTGCCACGATTAAATAATAAAATTCAAAAATAAAAAAATAGAAAATAAAAAAATTGGAAACATTTTTGACATGCATATTAAACAACAATAAGTATGATAAATAAAAAATGTTTTTATTAATGATGGAAATTGAATGTAAAATTTAAAAACGATTGGAAATAAAAATTTTTTCCTATTCTCTCTCATTAAATCATATATTTAAGATATATTTTTTCTCATCATTAAATTCTTGTAATTAAATCCACAATATTAAATTTAATAGTATAAAAATAAATATTTTGAAAAGTAATTTGAAAACTAAA